GGGGTTCTGTGAGAAAACGAAACGATCATGCCCCGAATGCTCCAACCGCGGGACACGGACAGGAGATTGACGACGGCTATCGAGCTAGTGATGAATCGGGACCTGGGGAGAATGGTGTGCAACCAAACGGTGGTCCACGAACTAAAGCTCCCGTCAGTTCATCACGTCCTCGGTATGTATATGTTTGATAGGCTCTGACATCCGTTGTTTCTACTCCTGATTGATTCCGACTTGTCATTCAAAATTAGAATGCTTCCAATTGACAATTGCCTTGTGATTCATGCAACATATTTGACAGGTCGCGGGTTCATAATTTTATGTTTTGGCTAACGATTTGGGAATTCTTGGAGTTTATAGGTTATCTTACCCGTTTTCGCCATGGTTCAATCACCACTAACCAAAAGACTAGTTCAACGGTTTGCTTACTCAGAACAAATTCCATGTTTTTTTGGTTTGCGACCAATCATCCAAACTCTCTTCCATTGCCTTGCTGCGTTTTGTAGCACAGAATTTGTCAACTGTGTTTGTTTGTGTGCGTGTTTGTGTGTGTGTGTGCGCGCGTTCAATGCGTCTGCATGCTGAACAATTGATTCACACCCCTAATCCACCCACTTGCACCCGTGATGCATCCAGTATTGTGTTGCAACAATTAAGACAACACTTNCAACACTTGTCTCCCGGAGTGAGTTTGCTCCCTCGCTTTACTAATGTGCCGCGATTCTGCACATACTGTTGTTGTTTTTCTAGTCTTCACATCCATGCACATGTGCCGATTGTTGCCGTATTTGACGGGATCAAGTTGATCGTTCGCCAGAAGCGTGCTTATCCTGTCAGGTTTGTTTCAACTGTTTCTGTGCTCTCAATCCTACTGGCTTGTGTATTCTCTGACCCCGTCACTATGATCTCGTTCGGTTTTTGGAACATTGATTTGTTACAGCAGAATTCACTGGCCAAGAGCCTGTTGGTATGTTGGTTACAGTTTTCCGGTACGTGATGCGCCATGCGGAGAATGCGAACTGAAGTTGGATATTGGATTTATTTTGCTTCAAATATTAGTTCTTAAGTAGCTTTAAAAGATAATCAATCCAACAACAAATGGCTTATACGGGGTACGTTCCTCGTTTCTCATTGCAGTACCATTTTACTGTACTTTTCAATCCAATTCACAGGCACAGGAAAGACCAGTTTTCACGCTAGCTTTACTCCTTTGAAGACTGCATAAAATCTAAAATATCTGATACAACTGTTGTTGTTCTTGTTTTTCTCACCAGTGGCGATTATGAACGGGGCGGATCCCGTCCCACAAGAGGTCGTCGTACGGAAAGACATCGAGGTGCAATATCGACATCCGGAACGTATTCTTGAATTTGATTCACTTTTTCGATCCAAATGCACACAACCATCGTTTCTAAGCTCTTGGCTTCTTCATGTGCCCATACAGATGCATCTGTTCCCCGTCACATGTACACCAAAACTAGTCTTTTGCTTGTTCACATGAGTACTTTTGCCTGAATCGGAATGAACAGTCGTTTTCTCAGGCCTTTATTAACGTAAAAATCCCAACCGCGTTTTGAGGGACTATCTACACTCCCTTAGCTCTGCCTTCATGTCACCGGTCTGTACTCACTGCATCCTTTCGTCTCGTCTCAATCCGCTGTGAATATCTGAGGTGATCTAGCCCAATTGGCCGATTGTTCGCCGATCAAAGCGCTCATGTCATCGCGGTTCTTTTGTGAAATACTACCCCAATTACACTGATGCAATTCCTTTCTCGCCACTCCACCACCATCCAGTGTTTGTCATTGCGTCGAACATCCGACTCGTTCCCTAATCAGATTAGTTCGCCCTCGAAACGTTTCTCTTCCAAATCGCCATGCTGTGTGATCCTAATTGGCTGGCCTTAGTCGGTTGTTCATCTGTGTGAATGGGTGTTGGCGTCAGTATTTCTGCACCAAGTTCAATCTTCTCAACTCGTTTGTACTACGATCTCCCGTTCACCTTTCAGCCGATGGGTAATTCTCCGGTGGTTTACTAGCAATAGCAGTTATAACCACTTTGAATCTTTATTATTTTCTTCTAATTTTTGTTTCAAAATCACTCATCGTCACTCAATGGATGTTTTATCCAATTTGCTACATAATTCAACTTGTGTGTGTGGTCTCTTGGGATTCCAACCACTGAAGCGATCGCCAAAATCGTCAATAGAATAGCTCTTACAACCGCCTCATTCACTCACGTTCATGAAAAAGAGGTTCATCACGATGGGTCACTTCCGTTTGCCCATGTGTATGACTTTTTCGCAGCTCTAGTAAAGATACTTAGTGCCTTCACACCGCTTTACGCTCCTCCAATCTGACATCTATTCACAGGTTCGCCGGGTGGAATAGAACACATTCGTGTTATCCCAGTTTAGACTACTAACTAACTGACTGACGTCTGTTACTCCTCCACACGCTTCCTTTTTGGAATACGATTTTTCCATCGTTTGTCATGTGCTTTTCTGCCCCTATTCTTCGCACGCAGCCGACACCTGAGCGTCCATCGTTCGCTCTGAACTGGCGCTTCAATTCACCACCATCGCCACGCACCCATGACCGACGGTTTGGAGATGCACTGCCACTTCGTTGTCGTCTTCCATTTCCCTCTCTTTCTCTCCGCCCCGGTCAGATCGGACCGGTTCGTTTGTTCACTAGACATGCACGCCTGACTACCTGTATGTAATATGTGCGTGTGCTTGCAAATGTTTGTCTGTTCGTGCCTATCTTCAAAACGCTTTCCCCAGCCCTGTTTTATAGACGACCATGAGGAGTTTCATCCTTCCTACGTGTATGAGCGTCCCTCCACCGTACATGCCTGTTTGTCATTGGACTGCGATCAGTTTCTGCAACCACACCACGTAGTCACGTGCTTGTATGTATGTATGCTGCGTTGAGATCAGTTATGCATTACAGTAACCCTTTTTTGGAAAATGTGATCGAGTTGTCAGTCTTATTTTTCCCCACAACAGGGATGGTCATTTGTGGCATACACATCGGTTCGCTTGTACTTCGCTTGGGTATTCATGAATCGAGAGCCCGTTTTTTGTTGTAGAAAATGATTAACTACAGCAACAATTCGGTAGACCTATGGGGAAAGTCCAAAGGAACATTCGCGGTCTTTTTGTAGCCGGGTAAAGTGTGCAAAGGACGCTTATCTGTCACTAAGATCGGGTCATTAGCCAGTCAATAACTTGGATTTGTCTCGAATGGAAGACAAGGACAAGTAAACTACCCCATTTGTGCTTCTGTTTCATG